AGTGAACCAATGGGATATTCTGAAAATGGATTCATGGTCATCATTAGACTATTGATTCTAGAATTTTATTGAACTCAATTGCTACCACCTGCCATGGCAGGATTTGAACCCAGGTCCCTGGGGGAAGTTACCTCTATCTCTGAATTAACGGTCCAGTGATAATACTACTAAGCCATCACCTCACCTCCCTTGGCAGGGTCAGGACACTCAGTGAATTCTAACCTTTACCTGCCAATTTCAAACCCTTCACAGATACAATATGACGTTTGTGTCTCTTCCATTATCCCATCTGCCTTTGGGTGATTCTGAGGGCAAGTTTACAGATTTGAAATCATAGAACAACTGCCCAAACTCTGTTCAAATAAAACTCCTAATCAACAGAGACGATCTTTACATCATCCACCAACTGGAATCATGTTTCCAGGCATTCATTCTGCTCTATCTTGACAACCCAATTTATCAAAAACAAATCTATAATAAGGCTGCATGATTAGATATTTGTCGCTGTTTCTCTGTTGTCTAAGTACAGTAGTATACGACATAATGTCTGAAATGATTGCGATATCAAAAGTACATGTTAATCTACTAGGTACATTTCCAAGAGAAGATGATACTGCAGCAAGTGAAATTGAGATCTCTCACCAAGGTAATAGATTCTTTGGGCCTGATAATGTTAATTACAGAGAAGATTTACCAAGATATTGCCAGGCGTGGAATGTTTGAGTTATAAATAAAGGTTGGATAGGCTGGGACTTTCTCCACTGGAGCGTAGGAGGTTGAGAGATAACCTTGTAGAAGTTTATAAAATTATGAGGGGTATAGATAGGGTTAATTGTAGGTGTCTTATACCTAGGATGGGGGAAGTCTACGGGGCCACATTTTTAAGGTGGGAGGAGAGAGATTTGTAAAAGACAGAGGGTGGTTGGCATGTGGAATGAACTTCCTGAAGAAGTGGTGGATGCGGGGACAATTACGACAGGCATTTAGATCGACACATGAACAGAAAAGGTTTGGAAGGATATGGGCCAGGAGCAGGCAGGTGGGACTAGTTTAGTTTGGGATTATGTTTGGCATGGACTGGTTGGATCGAAGGGTCTGTTTCTGTGCTGTATGACTGTATGACCCAACTAAAGAGCCGACATAGGAATGGACAGTGTGACACAAGAAGAGGTTTAACAACAAAAGGGAACTCTAGGTTTGTCTCCACTGTTCAAACGATGACTGCCTTCTCTCTGGGAGTGTTTTTCAAAACCAGCTCAGCATTTCCTGCTGACCAATTCAGACTTCCACAAAAGTGTTTTATCCTGAGCTGTGCTCTGCTTTCCATTTTACAAACAATGACAAAATGAAACTTCAAGTTTGAAGATTCTAACGAACTTGCTGGAGGTGCCATAACCTACGGAACTGTAGACTAGATTGTGGCATAGGAACAGAAATATTAGGAGTCGGAGTAGGCCATTCAGCCCTTCAAGCCTACTCCACCATTTAATATGACCATGGCTGATCTTATCCTAATCTCACCTCCACTTTCCTGCCTGCTCCCCATAGCCCTTTATCCCAGTTTTCATCAGAAACATATTGAATACTTTCTTGAATCTGTTGATTGATTCTGCCTCCACTGCACTCTGGGGCAGTGAGTTCCACAGATTCACAACCCTCTGAGGGAAGTGGTTTCTCCTCGTCTCAGGTTTGAACCAACCTCCTCTCACTCTCTATCTGTGCCCTCTTGTTTAAGACTGTCCCACAAGGGGGAACATTTGTTCAACATTCACCTTATCAATCCTCTTTAGCATTTTACATACCGCAGTCAGAGACCCCCTCATTTCTCCGAACTCCAGTGAGTACAAGCCCAAGCTATTCAACCACTTCTCATATGACTGCCTTTTTATCCCTGGAATCAAACGAAGTGGGATAGGTCTTTCCTGGCTGATACAGATTGGATGGGCCAAATGGACTCCCAAATTCTTTTTTTCCCACATTTTATTTCTTTCTATTCCGACAGGTTGATTGAACATTTTATTGAAATAATATTAAATAATCCATTAAACCACTTCAGTGGAATAATTGGACATTCAGAGTGGTGAGCAACATTAATGCTCCGCTAGTGTGTATTGGCACTGGGGTGTGGGTATTAGTTGGTTTTTGGGTGCAGATTGGACAGAAAGCAGTGGTGAATTTATTTAAATTATGCCCCAATGTTACTCTGTATATGGGATTTTGTTTACCAATCTGTGGGGTTAAAATTCACCTTAATGAACAACACAGAATGGGCTATAGAGCATTGTTTAGTTACTTGGCCACTCACAGTCATAGAGATATACAGCACGAAAACAAACTCTTCAGTCCAGCTTGTCTGTGCCAATCAGATATCCTAAATTAATCTAGTCCCATTTGCCAGCATTTGGCCCTTATTCCTCTAAACCCTTCCTATTCATATACCCATCCTTTTAAATGTTGTAATTGTACCAGCCTCCGCCACTTCCTCTGGCAGCTCGTTCCATACACACACGACCCTCTGTGTGAAAATGTTGCCTCTTAGTTCCTTTTTAAATCTTTCCCCTCTCACCTTAAACCTATGCCCTCTAGTTTTTGACTCCCCTACCCTGGGGAGAAGACCTTAACTACTAACCCTGTTCATGCCCCACATGATTTCATAAACTTCTATAAGGTCACCCCTCAGCCTCCGACGCTCCAGGGAAAATAGCCCCAGCCTATTCAGCCTCTCCCTGTAGCTCAAACCCTCCAACCCTGGCATCATCCTTGTAAATATTTTCTGAACCCTTTCAAGTTTCAAAACATCCCTCCTATAGCAGAGAGACCAGAATTGAACTTGATCAATCTCTGTATTCAGCACTAGCGTACAGCATGTTTAGTAAGGTCTTTAGACATCATTGGAACAACCATAAACTGTAAGAGAAGGAGGCTATTCGGCTGATTGATTCTGCTCCACTACTCAAGTCATGGCTGATCTGGTCATCTTCAACTCCATTTTCCTGTCTTTTCCTCATAACCCTTGATTCCCTTCCTGATTAAAAATCTGTTTCACTCCACCTTGAGTATATTTAATGACCCAGCCTCAACAGCCCTCTGCAGTAAAGAATCTCAGTGATTTACTACCTTCTGAGGGAAGAAACTCCTCCTCATCTCTGTCTTAAATATGCAATCCCTTACTCTGAGATGATGCCCTCTGTTCCTAGACTCTATCAGATTGGGAAACAACCTTCCCACATCTATTCCATCAAGTCCCTAAGTATCTTACATGTTTCAATAAGATCGCCTCTCGTTCTCCTAAACTCCAATGAGTACAGACCCAACTTACTTAACCTCTCCCTAAAACACAGTCCCTCCATAGCTGATAGCATCACAATGAATAATCTCTGAACTGTCTCCAATGGGGCTGAAAACTGTTCACAGTCTTCCAACTGTGATCCAATTAGTGTCTTCACTTCTCTGTTCATAGAACCAGCCGGCTGGTGAGACAGAAAGCAGGATTTATGGCGGTCTCAGTGAAATGACCTGGGGCAGAACCAGATGAGAAATCCAGTGAGGTCTGTCTTGATGCCAGGAGCAACCTATTGCATGTTCTAGACAGCGAGGGTGACGTTCTGGCTAGGCAGTGGGGAGTTCCCAAGCACAGGGGATTAGAGCTTGTTATACACTAGGCATCAAGACTTCTAGACACGGAGGTCAGAGTGGGTACCTGACAACTTTAGCTCACCATTTGCTCCAAAGGACCTCTATGTTGGACACTGGGCACACTCCATGGGCCCTGGCCAGACATTTCCCATGCCAACAAACATTGACATCCAATATACCAGCTTCTAAGAACCCTCATGGTACATCTCCAATTCATTTAACGGATGCTTCTGCCCTTCGGTACTGCCCCTCACATTGTACCAGCCACTCCCATTGTAACGCTGCAACGAGCACACTGTGTGCACAGGGCTTTTAAGTTTATTATCTTCCTCAGCTTACAGCTCCCTTCCCCCACTCCAGTGTCATAGCTGCATCCTATTTATATATTTGCTTAAAGACACCTAATGTCTACCACTTGTATCTCTTAACCTTAACAATGGCATTAAATTATGCAATTGACCAAATGTTATACCCTCTTCATTTCTAAATGTGTTAGAAACATACAACTTACGAGTAGATTAGATCATTCAACTCATTAAGGCCTGCTCCACCATTCAATAAGCTGACTGATCTGTGTGTTTTCCAAATTCTGCAATTCTATCTTCTCCCAATAACCTTAGAGCTCCCTTTCTGTCAAGAATCTATCTACCTCTGCCTCAAAAATATTTAATGAAGACACCACCCCCCGTCCCCCGCTCCACTGCTTTGTGAGGCAAAGAGCTCCAAAGTCTCAAAGCCCACTGAGAGAAAAAGAGAAAACGCTCATCCTTGTTCTGAAAGGGTGACCCCTCATTTTAAATCGGTGTCCCCTGGTTCTGGACTGACCCACAAAAGGAAACATCCTTTCACCATCCACCATGTCCAGACCATTCAGGGTCTGATACACTTCAATCAAATCATCCCCTCACTCTTCTAAACTCCAGTGGGAACAAACCCCGTCTGTCCACCCTTTCCTCCTCAAACAACCCACTCCTTCCCAGTTTCAATCCAGTAAATCTCCTCCGAACCACCTCTCATACATGTACATCTTTCTTTCACAAGGAGACCAAACTGTAGTCACATGAAGCCTGTCTATATCTGAAGCATAACACCTTACTTTTATATTCAATTCTTCATGTAATAAAGGATAGAATCTCATTAACTTTCTTGATTAAAATCTATCTCTTTGAACAGACCTTTAGTAGGTTGTACTAACATTTGCTAATGTGGCTCAGTATCACAATTCATTATCTAGCCCTACTGTGAAGCATACCAAGATATTTTGTTATATAACTGGAACAATTTAGATGTGAATTGCTGTGTTTGAGTTATACTGGAGTATTGCAGCACCACGTTTGCTAATATAATCTTAAATTGTTTTACAGAATGATTCCATCTTCTAGCAAAACGTTCATTGTGAAAGACTTAGTCGCTGGGCGAGACTATGACCTGTGCGTTCTAGCTGTCTATGATGATGGGATTACCACTTTGACTGCAACACGAGCTGTGGGCTGTGTACAGTTCACCACAGAGAAGGAGTACACACAGTGTCAATCCATGCATACCCAGTTCCTTGGTGGGACCATGATCATCATCATTGGTGGCATCATTGTGGCCTCTGTATTGGTCTTCATCATCATCCTTATGATCAGGTATAAAGTCTACAATAACACTGGGGAACACAAGACTAAGGTCAGTAACGTCTACTCACAGACCAATGGAAGTCAGAATGGGGCCATGCCACCATCAACCTCAAAACGAATGGAAAGTCGAGAGGAACATGTCCAGGAGATGTTGCCAGATGCTCCCAAAGGAACATTGGCTGTGGCTTTAACTACAGATTATGATAAAGTCTCTGTCACTCAAAGCCCATCTTTTCCCACAGAGGATATAACTCCTCATAAGCGAAGGAGAACTCGGACAGAGCTGCTGAAAGATGCGCCATTCCCTTCAAAGGAGATTCAAGGGGAGGACCAAGGTAGCACATCAACAAAACTGCAAATTCCCAATTTCTTTGAAGATTACGTGTAAAGAAAACAGCCAAATTCTACAAACTGTCATAATTCTAGTGTTGTTCACAGGTAGTCTGGGGTGTTATATATAAACCAAAAATGCTGGAAATACTCAACAGGGCAGACAATATCTGCAGAGAGACAAACAGTCAATGTTTCACATCAGCGATGGCCCCTCTACAGTCTGGGCTCTTCAATAAGTACCTGCAGAGAAAGGCTGACCTTAGGGATCAGAAGAACCACACAATTACTGTCTGACATTTTTCCATTTTTACAGATATATATATTTTTGATACCTTGAAGTATGATGTTTGAAGATTGCCTGAAATTCTAGATGCAAAACGTCTGCAGAAATATAAAGATGTGTACAACCACTGAGGAAGGAAGATTTATTTTCAGCGAAATCATTAATGTGTGGCGCATCAAATACTGCGGATGCTGCAAATCTGAATCACAGCCAAAACACGCCAGAATGCTCAGCTCCATCTCAGCTCAGTCTCTGTTGCTCAGAAATGTTTTTAATTTCTTTCATTCTGCTTATATCATCTTATTTTAATTTTACTTCATCCGTTTAACCTTCTCCTGTTTTTCATTTCAGCACGTTGCATGCTATTCAGCCTCCCTGTGGTGCGTGAGTATAAGAGGGTGTACATATGTGTGTCTGTGAGCATATATAGGTATTGGTGTTTCTCTCCCCACCTCCATTCCACCATCCCTACTCTTACACTCACCTCCTCCCATTCATTCCTAACTGGGCTACAGTTCATTGTGCTCCCCCTACAATTTCTTCATCCTCTGGCAAAAAGTGTTCATTAATTCCAACATTTAAAAGGTATCTGGATGGGTACATGAATAGGAAAGGTTTAGAGGGATATGGGCTAAATACTGGCAAATGGGACTAGATTAATTTAGGATATCCGGTCAGCATGGACGAGTTGGACTGAAGGGTCTCTTTCTGTGCTGTACTGCTCTATGACTCAATAAGCAGTTACTGTACTCTGTTCATTGTTTTCAGCAGTTCTTGATTTCATTGAGCATGTGTTTTCATGCTACCTGCCAGTGGCAGGTAATGTGTCTGTTTGACTTTTATTTTTTTTGAAGTTGATAATTTTGTCAGATAGTTCTTTACACTGAGGATGCTCCGTTATGTGGGATCCAGGTGCTTTAAAAAAGGCTACAAGGTGCAGGGCTGGATGAACACAGCAGGCCAAGCAGCATCATAG